AAACAAGGGAATTTTATATCAAGCGAAGACAGTGGGCAATATGAAGGAACAAATTCGCATATACGAGAAAGTTAGGGGTGTACAAATAGCTGCAAACAAAGGATACGTGGGACAGATTACGACAGAAAGTAAAGGGTTGATGAAAAAGAAGTGTTTTAAATGTGACAAAGAAGGTCATATAGCGAGGGACTGTCTGGAAACCGGATCGATTAAGAGTATTTGTTTTAAGTGTAATAAAAGGCGCATTAGTGTAAAGAACAGAGAGACAGAATGATTAAAAGTGAGCGGGTAAATACGGTTGATAGCAAAGTGGAAACGTCTGCCAGTAAAGGTGGAATGATTTTCGTTGATGCCACTATCAATGGCTTTACCTTTAATGCATTAGTAGATACAGAATGCATTGCGTGTATCATGAGGTATGATACCCTATTGATGTTAGGAGAGATAGATCTAACTGGGGAAAAACAGAGATTGTTTAGTATTGGCAAAGGCGTGCTTACGACATTAGGCAGCTTTACGGCCGAAATGACAGTAGAGGGACTATCATGGAACGTAACATTTCACGTAGTTAGGAAATAGCAGCGAGGCACGCCGGAGCTGGGATGGCTTCTGAGGGTGTGTATGGTGGTGTTGAAGGGGTTGTGTCAACCCACCGTGAGTTAAGAGACTATGGGGATAGTCGGGGTAAGGTTTTCAGGGGACAAAAGAACATTACTAAATACGTAGTAGAAACAGGATCTGAAGTCATGGGTGACAAAGGTTTAATTGAAGAGTTTGAAGTACTGTGTTCAATTGAAACTGGAATATGCGAGGAGACAGATCGAGTGGATCTATCGCATCTGTCGCTAAAGTAGTAAGCGGTTAGATTGATAGTTACTGCCCTAAGATGCCTAGTCATGGGCCAGTAGAGATGAAGTTAATATTGAAAAACGAGAAACCGATATTTCAGCGACCACGTAGGGTGTCGCAGGCGGATCAACATCGTATTGACGAAGAGGTCGCACGAATGCTTAAGGAGGGTATTATACAGAATAGTGTGTCGGAATACGCATCGCCAGTTGTGTTAGTTACAAAGAAAAACGGAACAAAACGGTTTTGTTGTGATTTTCGCAAAATTAACGAACAAATAATAAGAGACAATTTTCCAATGACAGTCGTTCACCGGCGGTATTTTGTCGCTACATACGAGCAATATTCCAGGACATGCTTGCAGATGGAACTGTTATAATATACATATCGCCATTCCCGCCAAGGATGAAATAGAAGGTCGGTAGAAATTAGGAAGAGTATTAAAGCATGCAAGTAAAAACGGTTTACACATCAGATGGGATAGATGTCAAAGTTTAAAGAAAATTATTAATTTCTTGGGGTTGACCGTGGAAAATGGTAGAGTTCTTCCTTACCAAAGAGCAAGAAGGAATTACAGCGGTTCTTAGGCTTGACTTCATATTTCAGACGGTTCATTTAAAACTATGCAGTTATTGCTAAGTCGCTAACAGATATGCTTCGCCAGGAAGAAAAATTTATTCTTGGGGAGGAAAAACTTTTAGCCATTCAAGAACTAAAGCGGGCGTTGGTGAACGCGCCCACTTTGAAACTTTTCGATCCAAATGCAGAAACAGAAGTATATTTGGGTGCGTCAAAATTCGGGTATGGCGCAGTTTTATTGCAAAGGGACCCAGAAGACAATCTATTGCATCCTATTGATATATATATATATGAGTCGTAAAACATTGAGGACAGAAGAAAAGTACAGTGCGTTTGAACTTGAGGTTCTGGCAGCTATGAAAGCCCTTAAAAAATGGTGGATATACTTAAAAGATATTAGGTTTAAAATAGTAAGCGATTGTAACCCTTTCACTATGACTGTCAAGAAACAAGACGTACCTGACAGGATTATAATGTAACTGCAAGAATACAATTATGTAGTTGAACATAGATCAGGAGCTCGCATGAGACACGTAAATGCTCTTAGTCGCGCATATTGTTTGTTATACTTACAGTGACCCCGTTAAGGAGTTGTTAGTAGTACCGTCTAGTATGGAAGACGAAATTTTTAAGCTAGCACATTGCCAGGATCATTTTGGCGCAAAAAAGACGCAGGAACTGGTGGAAAGAAATTATTACATACCAAACTTGAACAAAAAGGTGCAAAATGTAGTAAGTTCATGTGTGGAGTGCATAATTGTAGATTCGAAGAGGGGTAAGAAAGACGGCTTGTTGACGCCGATCGATAAAACCTGTGAACCACTAGGGACTTACCATATCGACCACGTGGGTCCTTTAACTGAAACATGTAAAAGGTATAACCATATTTTAGTTATTATAGACGCCTTTTCGAAGTTAGTTTGGTCATACCCAACGAAATCAACCGGGGTGGAAGAGGTAATTGATAAATTAGAGAAACAATCGACAGTTTTCGGCAATCCGAAAAGAATCGTAATGGATAGAGGGGCGGCTTTCACATCAAACGCTTTTAACAAGTACTGCACTAAAGAGGGAGTACAACACCTGTTGATTGCAACCGGTGTCCGACGAGGCAATGGACAGGTGGAACGCGTTCATAGGACCGTGGTTCCAATGCTATCTAAGAAATCTCAAAGTAATCCGACTCAGTGGTAGTCGCAAAAGTACAACAGATTGTAAACAAAACTGCACCTCGCACCACCAAAATGACACCCTTGAGAATTCCACAGGATTGAACATGCGTGTGACAAACTACCCAGATTTACAAGAAATTTTAAGAGACCTAGAAATAGAAGAGTTGAGAAGAAAAATTGTAAGACATTTAATCGAACAAACAACAACAAGGATTTGAATACAGCATAGGGGATATTGTAGCTATAAAGAAAACTCAGTTTGGAGTATCTACGAAATTGAGACCGAAGTATTTGGGACCATACAAGGTAGTCGCTCAACTAAACCATGACAGATACGAGGTCGAAGAGGTAGAAAATACGGAAAGACCAAAGGAAACGATGACAGTTGCGGAAAATATAAAGAAGTGGACTTAATTATTCGAGGTCGAATAATAGGTCAGGACGGCCGATTGTAGGAAAAATACGGTAGCTCGACAAATACGAAATTGGCACTACTGACTGAACGAAAGAACGAAGCGTCCATCATAGCGGCCTAAGAAATAGTAACGGTCAACATACTTGTAGTTTTTAGCACATAAGGAAGAAGGAGTGTAATCATTGAAGTGAACGGAGGTTTATATTTACATTGGATTTTAAATAAAAACCCTACATACGTGTATGTATGTATGTTCATAAATATATGAAAGGGAATCGAAATGACTAACTATGATTTCCTCCAAGGGCTTTTGGGGAATAAAGTGTATGTAATTACGTGTATGTACGTCTACGTGTGCTTTTATATTTCTCTCCAATTCCTGAATTTTGTTGTTAGGATCACTTCATCTTTGGTATTATTTGTGCGCCGTTGTGTGTTCATTTTTATACTTTCGCAACTTGTTGCTACAGAGTATAATAGTTTTGTTCACCTAATGGTTGTTTGTATCACCAAAACTAACCGAGTTAGATATAGTGTTATATACAAGTATGTGGTATCTTGGTTTATTAATACACGTCTGCTATCATAATATAATTAATGTATGTAAGAGAGATAGCAGTAGTGTAATTCTTAGGATAACAGTGTAAAGTAGAATGTAGGATAACTTAACCCTTAGTTGTACTAATATAAATGAACTTAATATTAACCCGTGAATGCATGAATTAAATAAATTTAAAGATATGTTCAATGTGGTTGTCACCACATACATATATACATATACATATAAATGATCAGGATGAAGAGACGAGTTGAAATCTGGGTGACTGTCTGTCGTCCGTCTGTGCAAGCAGTAACTTGAGTAAAAATTGAGATATCTTTATGAAAATTGGTACACATGTTTGCTGATACAGATACGATTGGTGTTGCAGATGGGCGTAATCGGACCAGTGCTACGCCCACAAAACGGCATTAATCAATAACAAATAAATTGCCATAACCAAGCTCCACAACAAGATACAAGACTCTTATTTGTTATACAGAAATTGAAAATTTTCTAAAAATCGGGAAGTTATTGGTTTAACCCCATTTTGCAAAAATCGAGTTCTCAACAGATCTCGACGTTCTGAGGGTCGAGGAAGCTTTCCCGAACATTTCTACGATGATGTCCGTATGTCTGTATGTATGTGTGGATGTATGTCTGTGTGTGTGGATGTATGTAAACCTCTTATAACTTTTAAATGGCTCAACCGATTTGAATAAACTAAACGGCATTCCAAAGGGTTTCATTGTACTTGAATTTCGTGTAAGTTTTCGAGAAATCTCAAAAATATTGTATGATGTAGATTGTGTGTCGTTCATACTTGTATGGGAGGTATGTTTGTGGGGATGGTTTTCGGGAACAACATAGGCTCATTTAGCCACTATGCTAAATATATTGATATTCGTGTATCCTTATATTTCTACGAGTATTCAACGGAAAAAAATCAAGATGTGATACTATTATAATACTACAATTCTTCTTTTATTCTATTTATAACTCATTTTGTTACATTCTTTATCACCTTTTTTTTCCTAAAGCAAGCTGGTATCAATAAAATGTATGCACCTGTATTTCTCTCTTAATTCGGTAGCGAATCTGCTTTGAAGGTATTTCGAAACATTATTCTCAGTCCTATTGTGTTCAAATTTATAAATTTTAATTATCTTTATTATTTTCTTTTTCTTTCGAATAGCACTACGTGAAACGATAAAAGTTAATGGTATTTTATGTTAAGTTCCCATTTGAGATTTTACTACTACTTTAATGTGTCAACGTTTTGCCTGAGATACTTTGTTGTCTGCATTTATCGATAATAATCGGGAATCCATCTGTTTTAATTTTTGCCACAGACCATGATTCAATTATATAAAGCTGTGTCCATACTGAGCGTGCTTCCTCTTACGAAAGAAGTGTCTGTATCTAGAATGTCAAAAAACTGTTTTTTGTTTTTCTTATGAATTTTCTGTTTACGAAGTGATGAATTTGTGTGATTTACAATCTATTCGTATTTAGTTATCACTCAAAAAACGCATGGGAAATCTTTGAAAAACTCATTTTGGAATCATAAAATGAAAAAAAAAACACAAGGCAAAACAACTGCATTTAACATTACGGATCCAATTACTTTTGACAAATTGTCGTTTTTGGGATATTAACACATGCCATAGACTAATAATACCACTTTTTATTGAATCTCTCACAAATGCTACTTGTACATTTTCAATGAAATTGTAATCTAATTTGAATTGAAATATAAAAATTTTTTATATTTTCAATTTTTCTTACAATATTCCTTATTTTATATGTGTACTAGGCCATAAATATAATAGCATGTCAAATTTTCTCAACATTCGCTTTTATCTAGTCGCTTTTTCGATATGGCCTTGCGTTTCCGTCAATGCTTATTATTATTGTGATAAGCAGAAGGAGTTGTGTGGCACAAGTAAGCATTTTATGTGTAATCCGGATGATGTGGTAAGTGTATTTATATTATATATTATATTATTGATACATGCCTAAAGCACTAATCTTTATTCTTAGCCTAGTGCAGGCGAGCTCCTTGGACTTTTGCCATTGACAGGCAAAATTAAACGTCTTTATGTGGATCGACACAACGAGTACCGTAACAAACTAGCAGGGGGTGAACAAACTTTCAAAGGAGGTGGAAAATTTCCAAAAGCCACGCGGATGCGCGAAATAATTTGGGATGACGAGTTAGCCTATATAGCTGGGCACCATGCAAAACGCTGTAATATGAAGCATGACGCCTGTCGTTCCACTGAGCGATTTCCAGGCTCCGGTCAAAACCTCCATATACTGGGCTCAAATATAAAGCCAGAAACGGTAACAGACGTGGTAGTGCACGCGGTGGATGATTGGTGGAGCGAATATGTATTGGTGGATGATGGCAATCAAATGGTAGAAGAATTTCCAAAAGGGTGGGGGTAAATAATTTGTAATCAAAAACATAGTGACTTTCGTACGATTTTCAGCGCTGCCGACTGGCATGATATCGGCCACTTCTCTGCCATTGCAAACGAACGTGCAGCTTTCGTCGGTTGTGGTCTGGCGCTATGTCAAAACTGTTCATTTGGATCTTATTGTATTGAGGTTACCTGTAATTACTCAAAAACTAATGTAGCGGGCACATTCATGTATAAAAAAGGAAATTCGTCAGCATTCGAATGTGATCATTATGACAGCGTACAGAGTAGTAAATATCCGCATCTTTGTGAAAATACTGGAAAGATATTTACAGATTAGACTCATAATTAGATCTGTGTATTAACCCAAAACAAATGATATCTAAATTTACAGTTTTTAGTCGTGGTAATTAAAATCCAGATTGTTTTAATGACAAAATTAAAACAGAAAGTGGTACTACGAGTATACTTTTCCCACGATCACAACTCTCGGGAGTATAACTCGTTAATATGTTGAGATTAAGCTCATGGGTTGTGAAATGATTATTAATTGTGCTATATTAGGGAAATTTCTTTCATTTCAAAAATTTGTATATTTAAAGCTTTGAAAAACACTTAGTAACTCAAAAATTTCTTTATTGTTCTTGCGACATGGTATACTGCACGAATGCTTACTACATGATGTATATATTTAAGAGTGTATAACTTTTAAAGAAATAACTGTAAGGAAAACCCCAATAAATTCTTTTTTGTAGAGCGTAATGTTTTGTATTAGAATTTTCTTTTTGTTTAAGTTATAGGTTTATTTTTTAATTAGATTAAGATTAAAAATTCTCATGATATGTACATGTAGTATGATTATTTACGGTCTAAATTAAAACTAAATAGCTCGCTTACTTTGGATAATTGCTTTTATGAAAACGGCTGAAACCTCAAGGAGCGTCAACAAAAAATTAATGGTATGGATATGTGGTTTATAATTTTTGTATACTCTTGCAAAATGTTGATACAGACTATAATAGTTTTGTTCACCTAATGATTGTTTGTATCACCTAAAACTAAACGAGCTAGGTAAATTATATGGTGTTACATATATATTAATGATCAAGTTGACCAGAAGAGTTGAATTTTGAGTGACTGTTTGTCTCTCCGACCGCCCCTCTGGACAACCGCCACGTCCACAAAACGTAATTAAACAAAAATTTATAAGTGGACATAACTAATTACTAAATTAAGATATTAAAACTGTTATTAGGCATGGGGGTTCACAGTCGCAAGAAGCACCCGCTTTCTAAGAGGTTTAATGTATATATCTCCTAAGCCACTTAAGGTACAACAACTAAATTCGGTCAAGACAAATCTCTTAGGCACACCTGCCACTGTAAAAATTATTGAAATCGGGTAATCACGCCGCCCATTCGAGCTATATCACTCAAATTTGCACAACACAAATCATTTTGACATTTCTTAAGACAGCGTGAAAATAGGCGAAATCGAATGTTAACCAAGCCCACTCTCCATATAACGGTTTGTTAAAAACTATTAAAAGTGCGATAAATCATAAATAAGTGCGTCAGAGACATTAAATTTTACTTCCAAGACGGCACAAGAGAGCTACTAAAAAATGAGGATATTTGCAGCTAAATTTAAATCACTGTATTGCAACACAAGACCTGCTCAAACAAACGATTATAGACAAAAATATTGATATCGCGTTATTAAGCGAACATACTGTCAGCGTTCGGAAAGCACTTGGATCACAGACAGTACTGGCAAGGCAGCAATATGGTCTTGTAAAGAGAAACCTTTTATGTCGCATTCCAGGCAAGCTCACAATGGTTTCACATGGGCAAAAATAAAAGGCATATATTTCGTAAGCTGCTATGCCCGTCCCAGCGCATCAATTAAAGATTTCGAGGACTTTCTCCTGAAACTGTCCCTGGAAACCAGAGGCAAATCGCCAATAATAATAGCGGGTGAATTTAACGCATGGTCTACTGCTTGGGGCAGCAAAAGAACAAACTGTCGTGGGCGTCTTATTTTAGAATTCCTGAGCCAAACGAACCGCACGTTAATGAATAGCGGCACGAAAAATACTTACCAAAAAGGAAATTAAGGTTCCACAATAGACCTAATGTTTACTAATGACACATTGAGCAGACGCATTAAGTGGGAAGTGTCAGACATCTACACAAATAGCGATCACTCGGCTATAATTGCTGAAGTTCTGTTCTCTAGGGAAACGTTTCCCCCCCCAAAATTCTTCACAGAGGCAAAGCTGGAGCCAAAAAAATTTCAATAAAGACGTTTTCGAGATAGTCTGGAGTGCGGCAAAGACACAAGGTGAAGACGCCGCCCACTAGGTATCCGCAGTGCGGAAAGAACTGGTCGCAACATGCGACGTAACTATGCGTAGGACAACACACCGAAATAAACGAAGGCCAGTATATTGGTGGAACGAGGAAATAGCCACGCTTACGAAACTTTGTCACTCAGCCAGACGTCGCCTACAGCGTAACCAGAATGGCACAAATGATATTGAGTTTAGGGAAACGATTAAAAGGCATAAGAAGCTCCTGAAGTCAGCGATTACCCGCAACAAAATAAATAGTTCCGAAAAGCTTTGTAATGAAGCGAACACGGGGAACTACGTACCAAATTTGCATGTCCAAATTTAAAAATAAGTCCCAGCAGCCTACTAGCGCATCCTTTATGAGAAGAGTAGTCGGGTCACTATTTCCGACACACCACCCTATCTCCTTCGCTAAGCCACGAAACGATGCTGCAGAGCCACCATTGTTGGTCACTGAAGATGAAATATTGACCATAGCTAAAATAATAAAAAGCAACAAAGCGCCTGGAATAGATGTCATACCCAACAGAGCCCAAAGGAAAGCCATGACTATAAATCCCAGTTTGTTTGTAAAAATGTACAATGCGTGTATTATAGAAGAGGTGTTCCCCGACCCCTGGAAGATACAACGTTTGTTACTGCTCCTAAAACCAAAAAAGCCACCGGATGAACCTTCATCTTAACGACCATTGTGCATGCACGACACGACTGGTAAAGTGTACGAAAGCATTGTAAGAAACCGCTTGGAGCTAGCAATCCGAAAGCTGGCGAATTATCAGAAAGACAATACAGCTTTACAAAAAAGAGGTCCACTATTGACGCACTAAGAGAAGTCGTTGATACTGCGAAATGTGCAGTAAGTGGCAAAAGATGGAAAGGTGGCACAAAAAAGTATTGCGCGCTAACTACTCTACTGCCCAATATCTCGTAAATATTATAACGAGCTATTTTAAAAATCGCATTTTGCTATTCGACACCGACGAGGGCACTCAGAGCTACACTATCTCTGGTCGAGTACCGCAAGATTCGGGTTTAGGCCCCCTACTATGGAACTTGATGTACGACGGGGTACTAAGAATACATCAACCAAAAACGTGAAAACAATAGCGTATGCGGATGATCTCATAGTGGTAGCAGTGGCTAAACATTTAGATGATCTCAGGCTCAAATGCAACGATTGCATAAATGGTCTGCGCCAATGGTTTGCTACCATGAGCTTAGAGCTGGCCGAGCAGAAAACTGAAGTTTTGCTCATAAGCACAAGGAAGGTGAAAGAAAGGCACACAGCCGCAGATGAAGTATCAGGGAGTAATACTTGATTCCAAATTAAAATTTTAAGAACACCTGGCGCATATTTCCGGTAAAGCGAATAAAATTTATAATGCTCTATCGAGAATGATGGTCAATAGAGGCTGCGTGCACTCCAACCGGCGGTTTTTAATAGCAAAAGCGATGAGTTCGGTGATATTATATGCAGCGCCAATATGGATACAAGCGCTAGACATAAAATCATATGCTAGACAAATAAACGCAGTGCATTGGCTTTCTGCAATCCGAATAATAATAGCTTTTCGAACGATATCAAGTGATGCTGCTGAAGTATTAGCCAGCATGCCGCCTATTGACATCCAGGTGGACGAATTCGCGCGACTGTACCAGCTCTCAGTGCCGTCTTCAGGAGTAAAAAAAGAGGAGAGAACCAAGAGTCTAACAATGTGGCAGCAACGGTGGCAATCCTCATCTAAAGGACGATGGACCCCCAGACTGATTCGGGACATTTATTCGTGGATAGACAGACGACACGGGGACCTATATTTCCTAAATTTAAATTTGAGTGGGTATTGATACTTTAGAAAGTATCTATTCCAATTTCATCGTGATGTTAGTCCGTTTTGTCCGACGTGTACAGAGTGCATAGAAGACTCTGAACACGTATTTTTCAGCTCTAATTATGACAAAACAGAGATACTTACAACAGATTAGGAGTCAGTCAGTCCGAGACTTAAATGTCCTTTTCTCTCCCATGAAGTAATACTTAATCCAGTGGTTCCGTGGGAGAGACATGAGTTGGGATTAGGTTAGGTTTAGCGGATTTAAGTTCTGCACTTCGGCTTTCGATGCTTCCCCCTACTATAAAAACAAAAAACAAAAAAAAAGAGAGCTTACTAGGAGCGGGTGTCAAAATTGGACGATATCACATTACTTCGGACCTGCTTTATCAATTTCAAACAAATTTGGTACTTATTATTACTTTAACATTCCCATGTCACAGTGCGAAAATGAGCGAAATCGGAGTACAACCGCGCCTACTTCCGTATATCATCATAAATCACCTTTAAATTCCACATGATTTTTATACCCTGAACAGGATATATTAAGTTTGTCACGAAGTGTATAACACCCAGAAGGTAACGTCGGAGACCCTATAAAATATATACATAAATGAGCTGAGTTGATTTAGCCATGTCCGTCTGTCTGTCCGCCTGTCCGTCCGTCTATATATACGCTAACTAGTTCCTCAGTTTTTAATATATCTATCTGAAATTTGCACCTGTCCTTTTCTCACTAAGATTCTGCTCATTTGTCGGAACGGACAATATCGGACCACTATAGCATATAACTTTTTCATTTGTTAATGAAACAATGTATCCTCCAAAGAAATTGTTCGGATCTCAGCACTATATCATATAGCAGTCATACAAATTGAACGATCGGAATCAAGTTTTTGTAAGGAGCCTTTGTATTTGTGAAGGGTATTATAGCTTCGGTGCAACCAAAGTTAACGTTTTTTCTTGTTATCTTTCCAGTATACAAAGTATACAAATCAAGCACGAATTATTATCTCGGGATAAAACTGTGCAAGAATTGTGGCATCAGGTATGCAAACTCAGGTCTAAAAATTGTCAAAACCGGACCATAACTATTCAAGCCCCTAGCTACCGGAAATGTGGACCCCAGAGCCTATGACTTTTTAGCGAAAATATCGGTCAATGTGTAAAATATATACTTGAAATTAAATGAGAATCCTTTCCTGATAATAGTAATTCTGTACGCCAAAAATTAATTGAATCGAGTCAATATTTCCCTAGCCTCTATATACTTAAGATTTTCAAACTTCCAGTTGCCCTTATACCATATATATCAATGATTACAAATAATATCTGAGCAAAATTATTTAAGCGTATAATATTGGATATACTTTAGTTTAATGTTGAAAATATATGAGATTATATTATGACATACATACATACGTATACTAATATCAGTTATTCTAACAATCCTTTTTATA